CTTCCATGCAATGTCTGATGGGGTCCACCAATTTGTGCTGAAAGCAGGAGGGAGCCTGACCTGCCCACATAGGAAACTCTATGTTGTTCAGCTGAGGGGCTTAGGGCAGACTTATGGGGTGTCCTCACTGGCACTTGCATGGTACCACAGCTTAGAGAAAGAAGTAAGAGGAAATCTTTTCTGTGGTGTGGAGGATGCAGCCCAAAGCTTGCCTGCTTTTGACTGTTTGGTTCCAGCATCAATTTTTGTTTTCACAGAGCTAGTTTGAGGACACAGTTTCCCAAAAAGGCTCTCAGCCAGGTGACCTGTGACAGGGGGAGACGTGGTTCAGGGAAAAAAATGGAAAGACGGGAGCCTCAAAGATTTTGATGCAGATGTGAATCTATATCTCAGTAGTCATCTGTTTAAAGAGTATGCTGCTTTCACTTTCATCTCCTCTTTATGGACAATGGAAGTGGCGCTCTTGTAATGGCAAAGGCCGTGGCAGGGGGAAACTGAAGGTACAAACAGTTTCCCAACTTTATACAAGAAGTGAATGCGGGCTGGGGCTAGGATGCAAGTTTGTTGATTCACTGTCAAATAACCAACTGTCTGACATCCTCTGCATTGATTTTGTTGTCCACTGTGCAATAAAATTACGCCAAGGTTTGTAGCCACGTATTGAGGCAGTGAAAGGGTTATTATCCTTTTTTTTTACTTATCTTTAAAAACAAGGCAAAGCAAGTAATTTTCTGCAGGAATACTCTAGTACGTTCATTTTACATTATTTGTCCTGGAACTGATTAGCAGCAGCAGCTTTCACCATAATTACACAGATCATAATTAAACATATTTTTGTTTTATGAGCTGTGGCAAATTCAGATTCTGTATAAGGCAGCTCTTAGGAATGAAGGCAATTTGCATGTTATAGTGAAGTGCATGTTACGAGAGACATACTAGCAGATGGCTTCAGGGCTTGTTTGCATTCAAAATACATAGCACCTGCAAGCAAAAATGCCTTGGGCTTTCTCCATGATAATTTGGGGTTCTTATCCACACAGAATCAGTGTTACCTACTGGACCAGTTATTTAATTCCCAGACTTTCCCAAACATGTCAGAGCAGCTGGACTTCTGCAGTCTTCTGGGATCTGCTTGCAAAAACTGTCTGTTCCTGTACTCTTTGGTCTTTCTTTGGTAGTACAGAGTCCATGTGAAGATGGCTGGAGTCACTAAAGAACTTTCAACCTGACCTGCGGGAATAGTTACACAGATAGGTCCTTCCAGTCCCTGTCTGAGAAAGGGGTTGCTCCTGTCCATCTCTAAAATGGGGGTTGTTTGGGGTTGGGAGGTAATAACAGAGTCACTAAAAATGCAGGGGTTTGGATACCAAGTCTGTTTTCAGATCTGAGTTGAATTTCATGGCTTTAGAATCAAAAGAGTTGGAAGAGGATGGATAAACTGTTGAAACAAAATCCAGCAAAACAAAAAAGCTCAAGTTTGGAATGAGTGAACCATTCGGACTAAGCCTGATGGAACATGTTTATTCTTTTCCCCTCTCATTTTTCTATAAATAGTAGATTCTGTATTTGAACAGTTAGTGTAAGCGTTCCTTCTCTGTCATACACAAACACCTTCAGAGCACCTTGAAATAGGATTTCATAAAATTTATCTGAAAACCAGAAACATCAACATCACTGTTCTTTAGCCAAGGAGCTGAGCTATGAAGACATTTTAAGTGATCTGTCCAAGGTCACAGAGGGAGACTGCATAAGACTGATGTCCTGACCCAGTTTTTCATGTCCTAAGTTCTACCCCATTCCTGAACTACAAGAACATTCGCCTTACAAGACCAGCTCTGCTGGTCTTCAGTTCTGCTGAATATATCACTCTGGTTTCCTTTCCTAGAACAGGTGAGGCACAACACCCCAATACTTCCATGAGACAGCAGATGTCTTATTCCAGTTTTGAGTTCACCCCACATTTCATTAACATTCATATTTCCCAAATTTGGGGAAGTTCGCATTTGAATGTGCTTTCCTTTCCTGGCCCACTTCTGTAATGCAGGAGTGCCAGGTACCAGTGAGAGACAGCTGTGAACTCTAAGCAAGTTCAGAAGGTGAATTATGGTCATGTCTTCCGCTTACCTAATTATTTTCTGAATCACAACCCAACTGAAGGCGTTCTTAAAGGCAATGAATAAGTTAGAGGGAGATGTGTGGCGAGTGCCTGATCTGCTGTGTGACTGCTGGGGGATCAAACTCTTCTCAGCTTTTGTTTTCTGAACATGTAAGGCAGCAAATGGTGTCTCAGCATCAGGCATTTGAAGGGACAGCTTTTCAGGGCATTAACTCCTAACTACATGATATGCACATTTGGGGAATTCACCTGCTTGATCCTGAATAATTCTGCATTCCCTATTCTCCTACCACTTAAATGAAATGGATGAGAATTTTAGATGAGCAACACATGCAAAATCAAGTCCTTTGGGGCGATACTTAACCTGAGGTGACCGACTCTGTTCAACATAAACCTGGATACGCAGCCCAGTGTGCAGGATGCTTCGCGTGGCTTAGTGAACAGCATGATTCTGCTGAGAGCATGCTTCAGCTCGTAGTTCCGTGAGGTCTGATAGCACCCAGGCTGATTTGTGAACACCGCCGAGGAAAGTAAAGCCTTGCCATTTTTGCTGTATGTGACATCTCAAGGTTTTGGCTCCCAGGAGCGCCAGGTGAGAAGTCAGAGCTGCATCAGAATGACGCAGAACAAGTAGGTCAGCAGTGTGGTTGCATGCATCTTGTGTGTCTCTGTGCGCCTGTGCGTGCATGCCTTTGAGAAAATGGAAAGCCGTGGCTTTCCCCTGAATCCTTAAGTTTCTGCTCAGTCTTTCTTTAGGGTAGAAATCTCATTGACTGTTCCATGTGCAGTTGGACAGAATAATCGGGGCCGTTTGGGCCTCTCGTTGCAGTAAAACATGTGGCAACAATATGTGGTGATGGTGAAGAACTGCAGAATGAGTGGATTTCCTGTAGCAGCAAGCAAGGGCTTTGGCTAAAAATAAGGAGAATGGTGTTATTCTTTGCCATGTTTCGTCTGCCCCAATTGCACTCTCTCTCTGCTTAGTGCCTGCCAAACCGATAGCTTGCTGAAGATTTAAAGGAGCAATGCTTACATTCCTGTAATAGCTACCAGAATAGCTGAGGTTATCATATCTTCTTTTCTTCTATTTTTCTTGATGACTTTCTTGATCCAGGATCTCTCTGTGTCACAGACACTGTCTTGAGCTGCTGCTTTGGCAGGTTGGGCAGCTTGGGCTGTTTACTGCGCCGTGGAAGCAGACAGCACATTTTGGGGGCAGCAAGGGATTGACAGAGCGTCTGGCAAGAGATTCTAATCCCCATCAGGCTGGGGGAGCTGTGGAAGCACCCTGCTCAGGCTATGGGCACCCAGGGGTGGCGGGGCTGCTCTCCGGAGCAGCTGTATGTTGGGCAGGAGGCGAGGGGGGACAAAGAAAGGGATATTCGTTCTCCAGATTAGCATCCAAAATGAGTTCAAACTGTCTGCACTTGTTTGGGAGCCTCTGGACAGCCTTAGCCTAGGAGTTGCAGGGGGGCTGGGGCTGAAGTCACCAGTCAGTGGCTGGCACTGTGAGCCCCAGCATAGGCCAGGACAGGCACCCCCTCTGTCTTTCTTTTAAAAGAAATGGGGAGAGAAAAAGCAAGAATGAAAAGCAGGAGGGTTTTTCAGGGGAGCAGTTGGTTTTCCTGGGGCACCCAAAGCAGAAGGGCCCTCTGCCCCCAGAGCCGAAGCTGCCTGTGGAGGTGCTGGGGGGGGGGGGAAGGGGCCACCCTGCTGGAAGCCTGTCCTTTTTGTGTAAAATAAGAATTATGGTGGGACATGCTGCTGTATTAATTACAGACTGCCCAAGCATGGGCTGGAGAATCGCAGCATGTCCTGCCAGGGGCCCACAGCGCTGGCAAGTGCCCACCATCCCGAAGGGCTCGATGTGGGGCTCCTGTGGGTGTGTGGGGGCTTGTCAGAAGAGGGGGGAGGCATAGGAGGCGAGGGGGGGGGGAATGATAAAGGGATGCTGTGTGCTCCTGGGATGCATGGAAGCCGGCAAAGTAGCCAAAACTGTACCAGGCTCAGCTTTGCCGCCAAACATGCCCAGCGCCCGTGGCTGAGGGCGAGTCTTGCCGCGGGCATGGCCGGAGCAGGGACACGCTGAGCATCCTCCAGCCCAGCCCGGGTGGATCGGGGAAGGAGCAGGGTCGCCGAGGGCAGCGAGGCTCAGGCAGCGCTTGTGCCTACTCTGCCTCCCGCCTGCTCCCCCCTCCTCCTTCCCACTCCCCCCCAGCCCTCCCCTTCATCCCTGTTGTGTGTGTGGCAGCTAAAGGCTGAGGGAGCGGATGGCGGATTGCACGCACGCCAGGCAGCCTGGGATGCTGGCTTTTTCTTCTCCTGGCTGCAGGCAGGGCTCGGTTTCAGACATGAGTGGAGAGAAACCTAAAAAGAAAGCTTTCTATCTAGTGAGGATGAAGCCACTGAAGGAGCCCACCACCACCACTACTAACAACAATGTCTCTTTTGTGATACACTGTCACATAGGCAAGGAGATCAAACACATTTGCAGCAACTGCAGTCGCGGGGAGGAAGCCCGTGACGGTGAGTGCTGAGATCCTGTGGGTGTAGGAGAGAGGCAGGGGAGCGCGTGGTGCTTGCATGGGGGGTGCGTGTCCATGTGTGCGCTCCCGTCGGAGGCTGGGATGCTCGGCTTGTCCCTCCACAGATCCCAGGGAACGAGGAAAGGGAGCGCGGGAGGAATGCACTGGGCATCGATTCAGCGTGTCGATCAGAGGGATGCCAAGAGGGACAGGTCCCCTCGTTTGCCACAGAAGCTTTGTGCTAACAGTTAAGGAACCAACTCTTTTTCTTTTTCTTTTTTTTTTTTTTCTTTTTTTTTTTTTTCTTTTTTTTTTTTTTCTTTTTTTTTTTTTTCTTTTTTTTTTTTTCCTTCCCTTTTTTCCCCCCAGTTGCTATAGAAATTGCTGTGTGTATCGATTGTGTTTTGTTACCGTTCCTGTGAATTTTAGATCAGGGTTTTCTGCCTTGGTACATCAACTTTTTCCTCGTCGTGCTGCAGTAGAGTTTGCTTGACTCAACTCAGTATTTGGAAGGACTGGTTTACCTGGAATCCAGCTAGTGTGATTTTCACCATGCTGTCAAATGCATGGGGGAAATTGTATTTTTATTGGAATTAATATAGTGCTCTTCATCAGACAACTGTTCTCATCCCTTCCCCCTCTCCTTTTGGGACTAAGCAAAACCTCCAGAGGGTATTCAGAGAGTGACGGTGTAATCAATCACAGGTGTTGCTACAGGTAAGTATATGCTTTTTATGTTTCTGGGAATGCAAATACTTGAAGGCAACGATGACAAATTATTTGGATTTTGCCAAAGTCAGCAATTAAGAGAAGCTGAGAACTGAAAGGAGCATAAAAGCATTCAGGCAAAAATCAGCCTCACAGATGTTAGCCCGCATTCTTGTTCAATGTTGTATTACTTCGTTTTGGTGTGTGGTTTTACATGTTAGGACTGAAGGCACTCGACTTAGGACTCCCTATTAACTGATGTGGTAGACTGATCAGGTTTTCTGAAGGTCAGGGAAAGGGTTTTTGTGATAAATGTGAATATGAAATTGTTACCATTTTCTGAGCTGAGGTTCACATTAGTTGTTGGCACTTCATTCTTCAGCTTTTATTGCTAAGGTTGATTATTGTTGTTGTTATTAACTAAAGCTGCTTTCATTTGCTGTAAGCAGAAGAACAAAATATTATTTGGGATGTGATGGTTCTTTGTCAACCACAGGTCTGCAGTTTAACGAAGTAACTGTGGTTTTGCTAATGTCTCCTCAGAATTAGCATCCTGCTAGTGTGATTATAGTTTCTTTTGATTAAACTGCAGCTAAAGCTGATTGGAATTGCTTTCAGTGGAAAGGGAAAAGATAGCCTGAGAAGCCTGGAGACCCACAGTGGGTTAAGCACTCTTACTGCTTGTGCCACTATAGCAGAGGGAAGAATCTGATGAATGCTATGCAAAATGTTGAGCGTTTTCTTTCCTCGCCTGTGCTGCTGGTGACAGCAAGCCCCACAGATATCGAATGAAGGGCTATGTGCAGCAGCAGCAGCAGGTGCTTTGCACTATTACTGTGGTTTGTTTATCCTTAAAAGCAGATCAAGCCATTTGTTAAAAATACGCTTTCCTAGATTAATTGAATTGACCTAAAACTCAATTGCATCAACACCTTTTGCTGGGTTTTTTTGAACTTGAAATCTTAGCACAGTAAGAGAAGAACATTGCTTTCCTCCCTTTTAATGCACACATGTGCATGCATGGATGCTTATGAATGTATAACTTCCAGTTACTTGTACCTCTTAACAGACTAATAGATCTGTATTGAAGGACTTTAATTCCTTTTTCATGTTTGATTATTTAGTTTCAAACCATTAGATACTGTGAGGGGAGGGTACACCTTTTGACAGGGGATAATCTAGTAACCCTAGAGAGGCAAAGAATAGAGCAGAGAGGCTTCCAGAGCATCTCGTCAGTCTGCTTTCACTCTCTCCTTCTGTGGGGTAGGATATCATTCCACTCAGTGCAAATAACTTTTATGGTCATCATCTAAAATGTAATACCAGTATGGCCTTAATCCTTTCTTTCCCACCAGCGTGCACAGCTGAGTTTCTTTCAGAAAGTAAAGAAACTATAGTCCCAGCCATGCTGGCTAAGCACACTCACTGGCTTGGCTCTGATACATTTTTCAGGACTAAAAAATGCCAGTATTTCCCTGGTTAATACCTGCTCTAGACCTTTTGGGATTTAGAGGGAATAGAAGATACAATGAACAGAAATTATGATGTGATCATAATATTAGCAGGACAGATCAGGTTAAAAAGTGTGACTAACCCATGTAGGGAGAAACTTGTAGGGATCTTGAGATGTCTGTGCATCCTCACAGTTGCACAGCCTGATGAGCACCCAGAATGGGGACTACTTAGTACTTTTTATAAGGGAAATGCACATAATTTTGCAGTGTGGACACTCCCACCCTCCTATTCAAACCTATATATATTTTATACATGGTCTTGCAGGCCTGAAACTGCACTATTGTATACAAAAGTATTATATGACCCAAGCAACTACAATATTTGTTGGTACGATATTTGTTGGAACTACAAAGACCATGATTCAGTCCTTATAACACAGGCAGGCCAGCGGAGTACTTTGATTTAGTGCTGAAATACCTTCCAAATCCAGTTATGAGTCCTGGATCCTAGTCATCATCTTACTCTGCATTCTCATTTTAATACTGTACTGGAAGAACTTGAGAAGGAAAATTCATGCTGAAACAGAGGGAAATCCTTCAAAGACCACTAAGTAATCTAGCAAAAGTCATGACTAGGAGAATATCAGGAGAGAGAGAGAGCTGTGAAACCAAAGGAAAAGATGGAGGCAAGCACCGAGTCGTATGATATCTTGGAAGGGAAGTCATGTAATTCAGAGAGAAGTCAGTGAAGGAATGTGGACGTGCAGATGGGCTCACTGAAGTAAGGATAAAGGGAGTGGATGTGGATGCCGCATTTTGATGAGGTAAAAAATAAAAAGTGAGACGTTCAAAGAGAAGCAGGAGGTTACAGTAATGTAGATGGAAGTAGGAGATGCTTTAGCCATTGGACTGAAACTATATTTAATATTTATATATTTAATGCTAATTTAGTTGGAAAATAGAAAACAGAGAGAGGGATGTACAAAGCACCAGAACTCAGGATTTGGGTGACAGAATAGCAGAAATGGTTTTGGAAATAACAAAGTAGTGAAACTGTATGTGAGGGAAGAATGATGGCTGTGGTTTCATCCTGTGAAGTTTGACTGGCCATAGCACATCCAAGGCAGGATGCCAGAGAGGCAATCAGACATGGTAGACTGAACCAAGAGGAAGAGGTCAAGTGTAGAAAGATATGAGTCACCTCCAGAATAAAAGAGCAATCAGGACTGAGCTCTGAATGCTACTAGAGGGCTGCAGGGGAGATGTTGGGAGAAGCAGGATGGTGAAGAGTTGCAGAAGTCCCAAGGAAAAACAGTTGAGAAGTGAGGAGACAACACAAGTGGAGGTATTTTGAAAGCGCCAGAAGCATGAAGGGGAATGAAAATACTTTTTCAGCTTAAACGTGGGAAAGTGCCTGGGAAGCTTGTAAAGCAGAAGGAGTTAGAACTACAAGAGATCCAGGTGCGCTGCAACTGTGCGATGCTTAACATCTCCTGGTATGTACAAGGCACTTCTCCATGTACCGATTTCAGTGGCCTCTGGGAGGATTGTGGGAGTGCTGGCTCATAGCCGATGACATGGCTGATGAGCAAGGGAACAGTAGCTAGAGGAACAAATACATGGAGAAGAGATTTAGCTGGGTTTTAGTTAAGGTGTCCATACACAAAAAACTGACTGCAAATCTCAGTCTCCTGCAGAAGTCTGAGCCTGGATGTGGAACATGGTTTAGATGCATCTCTACTTTAGTGTGGCTACAAAGAACTGTAGAGGTTTCAAAGGTACCCAGAAATTACCTGAGAGAAAGAATGAGTGGAGCAATTGAAGTGGGATACTTTGGATTTTTATGCAGTGAATCTGACAAGAAAACTTAAGTGGAAGGCATTTGCCTAATGGTTCATTGGAAGAGAGAGACTGCACAGGGAAAAGTGGGTCTTGCCAGAGTGAGAAATGAGGGTTCTCAGCTCAGTTCCCAACCCTGCAGAGGATCTATGGGTGGCTGTGGACCTGTCCGTCCATGTGGCGTGCAGTTCCCTGTCAGTAAAATGGAGAAAATGGGATTTCCTTTCCCCTACCTGCTGGTCTGTAAATAGACTATGAGTCTTTGGGTTGGGGGGGACTGTGGGAGGACCAGTCCCACCAAAGACCACGGGGCTTCAGGTTTTTTGGGTCTCTAGGTACAAGTGTAGTGGAAATACAAATAATTTTAAGAATAAACATACCCAAAAAGGTTTCATTTAGAGCTTAAATCTAGCCTGCTTATTGTATGCTCCTATACTTCAGGGTTTTGCTGTTTAAGCAGAAATTATTAATTATCTTATATATTCATGAAAATCAGCATGGACTGAGATGCTGTTGCTGTAGGAATTCCAACATTTGTTCCTTTTTCTAGAGGCTTCAAATAACTATTTCTTTCCAAATGGAAAGGGGGGCTGATGTGGTGAGAGGGTGAGAGGGAGCTATATGTGTGTGTGTGTGTTCCCACCTGGAATTGAAGACTGTTATGTTTTTAACAAAGAACTTTGAGAACATTTACTGTGTCATCACTTAAGAGATTGTCTCAGAGGTGATTATTTTGCTTCCCACAAAAGTCATTATTAAATGGTTATCTTCTAGACAAGTCATGAGCCCTGCAAGAGCTGTGTATAAAAGTAAGTTTTCCTCCACTAATTCTCACATTATTTCAAATGGTAGTTGCTCTTCCGTTGCCATCTCTCGAGTGAGCGCAGTATGTGGCTATGAGGCATTGCAGTCATTTACAATTGTACCTGTTAAAAATCCTAAAATATTTTGGAGGAAAAAAATTAGACTATACGGAATGGAAAAGCAGGCAAAACACCAGCGTACCTGGTCCTGCTGTGAAGTGTGGGAAGCTGAAAAACATGTTTGAGGTTTCAACAGCTAATATAATTATTCAACGTGTGTCTTCAGTCTCTGGGGGATAGTTACCTTAAAGAAAGGGGAGGGGGGAGGAAATGCATGGGCTTCCATTGCAGAGTGAAATATGTCTCCTTGAGAGCACAGATCATAAAATCCAATTGGTTTATTTTTGTCGGCTGGACTCTGTAGAGTTTGATTTGGGTGAATGCGGTGCTATGCCAGAGAGAGTTGATGAGGTCGAGCGAAGGTGCTCCATATCCCAACAGGCTGCTGGGGCACCAGGTGGGACTTTCTGCTTGGGAAGGTAAGAGCCCGGGCTGAGAATAAACGTGCTTTTCTGGGAAGAAGGTGTGATGGGAACTTGCAGATGGCAAAATCCCAAGGCAGGCAGGACATGATTGATTGCCTTTCTTTGACAAGAGAGCAGAGTCCCAGCACCCCACTCCCCTCAGTGTGTCTTGCATGTTAAGGACTAACAAACTCATCAGTTACCTGTGTTTTGTCCTGAGATCAGAGACTTAACAGGACTGCACTCTGCTGTTGTGGCTGGGCATGGCCTGCAGGCAGGGAGAAGAAAAGGGGAAGGAAAAGAAGAGTAAGAAGGAGGTCAGTTTGGGCTATGAGAGGCTGTACCTCTGGCTTACATGCTAAGACTAGCAAATGTGAACGGCTACCTGG